TTTAGGGGTAAACAATGCTTACTTTAAAGCACAATAAAAATATAAAATAGAATTGAGGAAGAATTAAGGAAGGAAAGGAAGAGTAAGATGGATGAATAACCAAATATAGGACAATACGAATTTCAGAATATGTAGTGGGTATTTATTCAATGTACAAACAATTCTTTCAACTTTACTGTGACTGAAATTTTTCATGTCAGGAAGACAGCAGAGTAGAAATAAAGGTTGTCAGAGGTCCAAGTACTTCTGGACTTTGTAGTTAAGAGTTGATTTTAATGGAAAATAAAAAAGATATATGCCTCTGAGAGTGAGATGTCCAGACTGTGTCTCTTGTCTCAACTTCTAATTTTAGACTACTTACAAGGTCTTAAGCATTTACCTCAAAGAAAGTACTTGGCTGGGCCCTCCCTGGTGGTGCAGCGAGTTAAAGCACTGCACTAAGAAGCTTAAGCCACTTCAGCATGAGTTGGATCCCGGCCTGCCCTAGAGGTGACCACATTGCACAGCAGACCTCTCCTGACCCGCCCACTGCTCCCCTCAGCAGTGTACTTCGTCAATCTGCCTGTTCTGCTCCTCACTCTGTCTCTGGTGAATCCTCTCTCCCTCCGCATCTCTGGCCTTGTACTTGGCTGTACTCCATTCATTCTAAAACAATCCAAGCCTGTGTGGTCTAGAACCCTTAATCTATGATCATCTATTTCCCATTATTTTTACCTGATTTTCTAATACCAACTTAAACTGACCACCAGTTGATAGCTCGCAAACTCGCTGTAACATAATTGATTCAGCCTCTCCATCCAGTTCTAGCATTGCAAACTCAAAGCTCTCCATTACAAGTTAATGTTAAAACAAGTAGTCAAAGATGCTTTGTAGAAAGGACAATTCATGTGTGTGTCACACAGAGTGTGGCTCTGTACCTGACACAGAAGTATTAAAAGGCTGTTGAATGAAATCTGTACATGATAATAAAAACCATATTTACATAGCACTAAGATGTGCATTTGTACACACACTGTGTTGGGCACAGGAAACGTGTATGTTAGAATTCTTAGCTTTAATATTGAAAATGGGAAGATCTGGAGCCTCTTCTGTGGTGAGCTAACTCAATGGAACTGGAAATTAAAAGTTGATAAATTATTTTAACATTAAGAACCATCTAGGCCCTCCCTGGTTAAAGCACTGCACTAAGAAACTATGCCACTTCCGCATGAGTTCGAT